CTTGAGGCAGAGGCCCCGCCCCCTCTTTCTTCTCCCTTCTCCTATTGGCTCCGCCTCGCTCCGTCCAGCCCCAGCACCTGTAGGAAATGGAGCGTTTTCCCTACGTCTTGTGGATCAGCGTAAAGTTCCCGGGTAGCGATTGGTGGAGAGCGCTGTCACTCAGGCCCAGTAAGCGCTTCCTGTGCATGCGCAGGTGGGCGGGGGGAAGTCCTGCTCGCTGGAACCGGCTGTGAGGCGGCGGCTGCAGGAGCGGGCCTGGCGGTCTCAGGCACCTCTGCCCGCTTCCCCTCGTCCTCCCCGGCCGGAGGCGACCGGCCATAGCTGCAGTGGGCCCCGTGCACGCGGCCTGGGTGAGTCCGGGCCGGAGACCTGCGGGCCAGGCGACACCGCCGCGGGAGAGCGCTGGCTCCTAAGGCTGATGTTAGGGCCTGCGTTTTCCAGCGGTGTCAGCGGGTGCAATGCTGGCGTTTCTCCTTAAGCCCCTGGGCACCTGTTTCTAGGGGGGTTTAAGGGGGGCTGGGGAGGAAGGTAGACCTGCTTTTAGGGCTCAGCGTTGCTTCTCCGCCTTTCCTGACGTACGCGATCCTGGGGCGGTCCCTTTTCTTAAGACAGTTGTTGGGTCACATCCTCAACATCAGCTTTTTTTTTTTTTTTCCCTCTCCCCATCATCCAAGCCTCAAACTGTCGTTCCTCTTTTGGTCGTTTTGCAGTTGAACTTCTTTGAATCTTATCCTCATTCACCCTGAACCTCCGTTAATTAAAATATAGTGACCACATGCATTTACCTTCCACTTTGAGCAGGTCGCCTTCCTTTGCATTACGTCATCATTCTTTCCAAGAGTCTTCCCTGTTATGGTGCATGCTGGCTTCCACATTATTCCCTTGTACTCCGTGGTCCCCGTCCAGGGTGTTCGCTTGCTACTTCTGCGCCTCTGTCCACCCGTCCACGCCCTTGGCTGCTTCTAGGCGAGGCTGTCATCGAGGTCCATACGCCTTTGTATCTGCCCCTTGCCATCCCATCCCTTTGCTGCAGAATAAGCACGACCCATTTCAAGTGCCAAAGCTGTTAGGATAGAATGTGCAAGAATTTCAGATACAATTTTCAGTATTTGGGACAGAGTTGCAATAATTTAGAGCTGCGCTGCCCACTATAGTAGCCATATGTGGCTACTGAACATTTGAAATAGACTAGACCCGATTGAGATGTGCTTTGAGTGTACAATACACACCAGATTTTGAATACTTGGTACAAAAAAGGAAAATATCTTGATAATAACTTTTATATTAACATTGAAATAAGTATTATTTGGGATATATGGGCTAAATAGGATATCATTAAAATTAATTCTTCCTATTTCTCTTTTCTTGTGTGACTTCTAGAACACGCATATAGGCTACACAGTAGGGTTGATTGAATCTGCTGATGTGGTACCCGAGATATGGAGGACCAACTAGATAATTAGCATATCATTTTAATAATATCTTAGGAATTCAGAAA